AAAAAAAAAAAAAAAAAAAAAAAAAGAGAGAGAGAGAGAGAGGTTGATGCTTCCTTCTTGGCTTTGGAAAGCAGCCAGTTTTCCAAACTACCTATGCCCCTTGACATAGACAAAAAATACTCCAACCTACTAGGGACAACTAGACTTCTGTAGAATAGGGGCTCTAATGGGGTCCTCAGAATGAACAGACCCAATTGTAAACTACAGGGACCTGGTGGGTGGGTGGGTGGGAGGTGCATGGCCTGACTTGAGATCTTAGGCCTTGGGTACCCCCAGTCTTCCAGGCTTTGTCTATGGTAAACTATGTACAACTTTGGCTAGTTACTACTGGATGCTGTTACATTGCTATCATTGTAATTTGTTTCTCCATGGCTCTGAATTTGATGGCTTGTCAGGGAATCTGTTTTCCATTCAATTTTTGGTTAAACAAAGCATTTTGTCAATATATCCGGCCTTTGCTTTGCTCCTTTGGTGAATATCCTTTGAAGACAATGCTGATGCCAGCTCTTTGTAATTGTGAAATCTGTACCCAAACCTCTGGATTAGTATCTCTAGTTGTCTACTGTAAATGCTGGAATTACAGCAAACGCTATGGGGGCTGGGCTGCTTTTCTGTATTGTACTAGCACTATTATAGATATTAAAGAAATTTATCCACAGAGCAGTCCAATGCAGAGCATTTAAATAAGAAAATGGCTTCAGTATAGCTTGTTAGATCCATCTGTATTGGAGTTCCCACACACATTTGCCTGGCCTGGCCTTTCAAGAAGGCTGGAATTGATACACAATATGGGTACATGTCCTTCTTGCTACCTTTTGTGCTTCCCCTCTTCCTCTAAGTTACCAATGACCAAACTAAGATTAAATAATAATGACAAGAGATCTGTGAGTAAAACGCTTCCCCTTCCCTCTGGGACAAGGGAGGTGGGGCAGACCTCAAACCACCGTCCTTTACCAGGTAGAGACACCAAAAGGAGCAGCAGCATTTCCTCTTAAACTACTTAAAGAGTTGGCGCCCCAGTCACTTCATTCCCATTTAATACTAATTTCCATCTCCCCCAGGTCATTTTACTAGTAAAGTTCAAGTTTATGTAAAGTCTGTTTTTTGGTTTGTTTTTTTTTTTTTNTTCCTCTGTTGCCCAGGCTGGAGTGCAGTGTTACGATCTCAGCTCACTACAACCTCTGCCTCCCAGGTTCAAGCGATTCTCCTGCCTCAGCCTCCTGAGTAGCTGGGATTACAGGTGCCCGCCACAACGCTGGCTAATTTTTTGTACGTTTAGTAGAGACGAGGTTTCACCATGTGGCCCAGGCTGGTTTTGAACTCCTGACCTCAAGTGATCCACCTGCCTCAGCCTCCCAAAGTAGTGGAATTACAGACGTGAGCCACTGTACCATACCAATTATGTAAATCCTTGTCCAATAAGGACCCCAGATTGAGACAAGAAGGGGGGAAATAAGTCTGTCAAAGAAGCTAGAAGCAATTAAAAACAAAGCTTTTTTGAAATCATTTAAAATTTACAGAAAAGTTGTAAGAGTAATATGAAAAACTTCTAATGTCTTTCACCCACATTCTGCATTTAACATTTTGCCACGTCTGTGCCTGTTCTCTCTGTATGTGTATGTTTGTGGGCACACATTTTTTTCCTCAACCATTTGAGAGTAAGTTGCAGACATCTTGCCAATTTACTGCTAAATATTTCTTGTGTATTCCTTCTTTTTTTTTTCAAGACAGGGTCTCGCTCTGTTGCCTATGCTGGAGTGGCAGCTTCGACCTCCCAACTCAAGTGATCCCACCTCAGCCTCCCAAGTAGCTGGGACTACAGATGCATGCCACCACGCCCGGATAATTGTTTCTACTTTTTGTAGAGATAGAGTTTCACCATTTTGTCCAAACTAGTTTTGAATTCCTGGGCTCAGGCGCTCCACCCGCTTTGTTCTCCCAACGTGCTGTGATTGCAGGCGTGAACCACTGCACCTGACCTTAGAATGTATATTTCTTAAGAAGAAGGAGACTTTTTTTTTTTTTTTTGAGGTGGAGTTTCGCTCTTGTTGCCCAGGCTGGAGTGCAATGGCATGATCTCAGCTCACCACAACCTCCGCCTCCTGGGTTCAAGCGATTCTCCTGCCTCGGCCTCCCGGGTGGCTGGAATTATAGGAGTGCACCACCACACCTGGCTAATTTTTTGTATTTTTGGTAGAGATGGAGTTTCTCCATGTTGGACAGGCTGGTCTTGAACTCCCAACCTCAGCTGATCTGCCTGCCTCGGCCTCCCAAAGTGCTGGGATTACAGGCGTGAGCCACTCCACCCAGCTCAGAAGAAACAGATAATTTTACATAACCTCAATACAAATGTAAAAATCAGGAAATTTGACTTTGCTACAATGTTATCAAGTAATCTACAGTCCACACTCAAATTTTACTAGTTTTTTTCTATTTGGAAAACTTGTAAATGTTCACTATAAAAATTTATTTTCCAGTTCGGTATGTAATCCAGGATCACACATTGAATTTAGTTGTCATGTTTAGACTTCTTTAATCTGTCTAAAGCTTTTCTGTCTTTCACAATATGGTCATTTTTTAGGAGCATCTACAATCCTATTTTTAAAAATAATTTCGGCCGGGCTCAGTGGCTCACACCTGTAATCCTAGCACTTTGGGAGGCCAAGGTGGGCAGATCACAAGGTCAGGAGTTCGAGTCCATTCTGGCCAACATGTGAAACCCCGTCCCTACAAAAAATACAAAAATTAGCTGGGCATGGTAGCAGGTACCTGTAATCCCAGCTACTTGGGTGGCTGAGGCAGGAGAATTGCTTGAATCCGAGAGGTGGAGGTTACAGTGAGCCAAGATGGCACCACTGCACTCCAGCCTGGTTGACAGAGCAAGACTCTGTCTCAAAAAATAAATAAAATAAAAACAATTTTATCAGTTTGGGGCTATCTGCTATTTCCTCATTAGATTGAATTTAACTGTTTTTGGGGGGCCAAGAATATGACAAATGTGTTATTATGTTCTCAGTGCATCACATTGGGAGGCAATGATGGTCTGTCTCATTACTGGTGATGTTAATATTGATCAACATTTTAAGTACACCAACCTTTTAAGTAAAGTTCCAAGATTTGTTTATAATTTTTTTGTCTTCAGATGGAAGGGATATACTCAAATTACTATGCTCAATAATTGCTTTTGTTATTTTTTTTTCATTCAGTGCAGTTATATTGTTCATTTGAAATC